TGGAAGCAACCTAAGTGCCCATCAAGGGATGAATGGATAAAGAAGATGTGGTATATGTACACAATGGAATACTACTCAGCCATAAGAAACGATGAAATCCAACCATTTGTGACAACATGGATGGACATTGAGTGTATTATGCAAAATGAAATAAATCAGAAGGAGAAGGTCAAATACCATATAATCTCACTCATTAACTAGTAGATAATAACAACAACAAACACACACATAGAGACAGAGATTGGATTGGTGGTTACCAGAATGGAACAGGGGAGGGAGGGAGGCAAAAGTGATAATTAGGCACATGTGTGTGGGGATGGATTGTAATTAGTATTTGGGTGGTGAACATGAGAACATGATGTAATCCATGCAGAAATAGAAGTATAATGACGTACACCTGAAATTTATACAATGTTATAAACCAATGTTACAATAAACAAAAAATAAATAAATAAAGCCAAAGGAAGTATAAGGAAAGAATAAAAATAACTCAAATATAAAACAGATAAATAAAATTAACAAAGATGAAAGTCCTCTAAGTTATTTTTCTAAGTGTTTTAGTTATTCCTTTTAATTTCCATATAAATTTTAAAATCATCTTTTCAATTTCTACAAAAAAGCCTGCTGGGATTTTTTTTTCATTAACAGCTTTCTTGAGCTATAATTCATTTAAAATTCACCCATTTAATGGTGAATGGGACCCAATTCAATGGTAAATTCATACAATTCACCCACTTAAAATGTACGATTAAATAGTTTTTTATTATAGTCACAGTTGTGCAATCAACACTACAATCAAGTTTAGAAAATTTTCATCACCCCCCCCCAAAAAAAACCCTATACCCAATTAGCAGCCATTCCCCATTTTCTTCCAACCCCCAGCCCTAGGCTACCACTAATCTACTTCAGGTCTCTAGATTTGCCTATTCTAGACATTCCATTATTAAATATACAGTCTTTTGTGACTTCTTTTACTTATAATGTTTTCAAGGTTCATCCATGTTATACCATGTATCAGTACTTCATTCCTTTTTATGACTGTTTTTCGAGACTTATAATAAAGCTACAGTAATCAAGACAGTGTGATATTAGCATAAATACAGAATAGAGTCCAGAAACAATCCCCACCCCTCACTGCTACATATTTGGTCAAGTCATTTTTGACAAAGGTGCCAACGTAATTCACTGGTAGAAAGGACAGTCTTTTTCAAGAAATGATGCTATAGCAACTGGATATGTACAGGTGATTAAAAAAACAAACAAACAAAAACAACCTCCACCCTTACCTCACACTAAAACAAAGATTAATTTGAGATAGTTCATAGATCTAAAAGTAAAAGTTAATACAAGAAAGCTTTTAGAAGAAAACATAGGATAAATATAATAATATATATATTTATA